AAGTGATTTCATTGTAGAGGTGTGTAAGTGTCTTGACATCTTTTGTATAAGCCATACCTTCACAAACTTCCATCAGATCGGACTTTTCTTAAATAGGTGATGATGATTGGGATGATGATGATGATGATTGGGATGATGATGATGATGATTGGGATGATGATGATGATTGGGATGATGATGATGATTGGGATGATGATATCAAAATGTTGAGTGATACATGGGGAGAAAATGAACATTCGTAAGGAAGTATACAAAAGTGTTGTGAGAAACAGACAGATTTGTGGATAGTGTGATAAGAATTGGTTATTTCATTATTTTATGATGGGTAGGGAAATCAAATCACCTAATTTGAAGATAAATGCATTTTGTCGTTGGCTGAGTCCACTACTGAATGTAACAGTTTGCATGTTTCTATGTGAATCGAGGATGAAATGAGGATGAGGAGTCAAGCGATGTATATGGTTACAGTCAGTCGAATATCTGTGTAACTGACAGCGCCATATGATCAGCTTTCAACTTTCTTAACATCGTAGGTCATTATTATTTCGACTAAGAACTTCATCAATGAGTGAACTTCAATCCTTCAAACAATCAAAATGATAATAATATGAAAATATTTTTAGTCTCCAGTTTGTTTACACTAGTTTACTAAAAGAAAATTGTAAATTTTTTTCGGTTTATAATAGAGATATTATCAAAAATTTGAATAAATATGCAAATAGACTGATTAACAAATAAGCATACAGATATACACAGAAATATGTACATGTGTAAACAAACAAAAACCAGAGTTGACACTTTCAACTATCAAACATTTTGATTATTTTCTTATAAAATGGAAGATAAACTATCTCTGAATATTCATTCATACAAAGGGGTTTATCAAGACAAGGGATATGTAGATACAAATTTGTTCCTAATATCTGCTTATATTTGTATGCATATATAGAGATATACACATGTTTACAGGAGATGATCACCCTGCTTACATCACTACAACCGAAAAATCATTTTGAAATCCAAGATATCAGTAAGAAATTATGTTTACTTTCAATGTGTCGAGTTAATTTAGATTTAACAATACTCATTTCATTTATGATAATATTCACTAGCTAAAGGAATAAATTGATGAGGTAGAAAGGATACAAAATTGGTGTCATTGCTTTAGTAGTGATAATAATCATCTCATCGATGTCAGTATCCGTAGTGATGTTGGCAGGACGGCGAGTAAAATAAGCAATTTTAACATGAAATCCCGAGGAACCTGAACCTGAACTTATAGCATCCAGAGTGAAAGCATTACGCACTAGACCACTAAAGCATGAGTACTATCTTTTACAAACAGACATTAGTTGTTATTTATCGATACTTGTGCCTAAGTAGCCCGGTGGACAACTCTTTGGTGTTTGAGGTACTGGGTTCGAGCCACAGTGAAACAGCCACTGGGATGCAGATATGTCCAACTGTGAAGTGACAGAGTGGAATAAGACGTAAGTAATAACGCTATTAAACAGTGATAAACTAGAACTGAGCACCAATACAATGATTCCCCCTCACCACTTTATTTCTCATTGAGTCACGCAAATATCAAAAGACAAAGGCTGACCTGTGACAAAAAAGATAACAACAAGTTTAAATTTTGAGGGAGTTGTGAAGATTTGGAATTATTTTAAGTTGTTATTCATCGAAGACTAACATCAGTTGGAGGAACAAAGGAAACCTGGGAGCACTGGACAGCTGTTTCATCCGACTAGTATGGGACTCCTGAGCAGTGCGCACCCACGACCCCACCAGTAGGGATCGTACCCTCGACCTTCAGGTTCCTTTGTTCCTCCAACTGATGTCAGTCTACGATGAATAACAACTTGAAACAACAAGTTTATCTGATAAACTACAGATTATATAGGCAATTCCTACACACAAAGTCTTCGGGCAGAAATAGAATACCGTAATCTTATTGGCTACCAAATTGACCAATCAGGTTATCCTGTTCATATATAGGCATAAATCAAAATGTGAAATAAAAGTACTCCTACCCCAAAGCTGATATGATGACTTTGAGCGATGATTACCATATTTGGTCACTTCCTATCAAGTTGTTGACGCTTTCCACCAAATAGAATAAAATGAAAATCTTGAATTCTACTTCTGACCACCAAATAAATCACAGAATGATTAGTATTTAGGTAGCATCGAGGCATCCGAATACGAGGCCAAATATCAGCAGAAGTTAAGCAGTTTTCACCCCAGGATTTCAAGGGGAAATTAGAAGTATTTATAAACAGTATTTGATTTCATAAACGCCTAATTTTAAGGTGAATCGGGATGAAAGCGATCCAGGAGAGGAAACACAATTTATGCCAAGTATTAGGCAGTTATGGGGATTATAATTGAAGAGAAATTTGATGGTATTGGTTGAAGTCTATGCATCATATCCCTCTTTTTCACTCAGTAAGAGCTGCTTTCAACTTGTATCATTCATGTTGATTACCTCTTTTCATTCGGCTTGAATAAATGAAGACTTTTCAAAACTCATCAACCTCAGTGAAGAAATTGACCAATATGATTCCTTAGAGATAGATTGTGGTGTTCCTGGCCTTAGTAAACCTTTTAACTGTTTGATGGACTAGAGTTAACAATACATTCTGTGAAAATACTTTACCAAGTATTGCAGATTACATGTGACTAATTAAGCTTCCAGGCATGTTAATGATGAGTCTGGATATAGACTGACGAAATACCTTTCAGAGTAATCCAACAAAACATAATGTAATTCAGCAAGGAAAATTCTCTTTCACATAGCTATACTATCGTGTTCATGGTAATAACAAACACACCTCTTGAAGGAAGTGTGAAGGTCAAACTGCGCTTTCGGCTATCTCCATTTGTGTCTATCAGCCTACCTGGTTTTGTAGAGTTGAATGTTTACTCTGTACAAATCACAATTATGCCAAATACACCTTCGAGTGGCTGTCCAGAGGAGAACACAAGTCAGGCAAAAGTTCCAAACTTAGACCGTTTGTTCAACTATGCTCAAATCATCTCCCCATAATCTCCTTTTATAATCCTGTATAAAGTCAAATGAAACGTCTCATTACCTATATATAACAGAAGCGTTGGTAATCCAAAAATTAATGTCCAAGTACTGAGTACAGAAGAGGTAGGCACTTATTCTCTTATTTTACTGTGGCGAAGAAAAAAATGTACCCTATTCAATGTTCAATAAGCTTCTGGATTGATGGACATCATTCCCCATGGTGAGTATGTGCTGTACATGATGTCAGAAAAACCGATTTTATTTAGTTGATGTTAAAATAAGAGTATGGAATGCATATTTTATTTCATTTTTGGGATCGTCAGTTGGATAGACTAGCAGTCTAGTCAGTTTTTTCAACTTCAATAAGACTAAATTCTGATGTCCATCACCAAAGAAGTCACAGCGTCTTCTCCTAAGCTATATGCGTCACATTTTACTTACTAACCACCGGCAAGTAAATAACACCGAGAGAAATGATGACAACAGATTCACTGTTCATGAACCATGACATTGGTAAATGACACTCTGATTGATGACTTGATTATTTACGGTGTCAAAAAAAGCGTCAATTTTCAGTGGGATCCAGGCAGATTCAGCTGATTGAGTTTCAATTTGACAGAACTGCACACTAAAGATTCTACTGTAAACCACTATTTTATAATTATTATTTGTCCCTTGGGTTCCTTCCTAGTGGAACATACGGCTTCAGTAGCACATCTCCATTCCACTCTCTTCTCTACAATCTTTTGAACATGACTCCACAACTGTCCACAAGCTCTCATTCCTTCCTCACAAACCATCTCCTCCATGTCACCCTCACCTCAGACGCCAACTCGCAGCTTCCCATCTGGGTTCCACTCGAACAACTGGCCTGATGCGTGATGTTTCTGAAAAGTCTTCTCAGTGCATGCCCAATACAGTCCATCTCCACTTCCTTCCAGTGCATATTTGTCGCATAATACGTTCTTGCTTCGTTTGTTCGTTCCCAGAGTTCCTTGTTGCTTATTCTTACTATTCTGGCAATCCGTCTCATCTTCAGTAACGAGCCAGCATAGACAGTTGTTGACGAACATATGTAGTTTGTTGGAAATGCCTTTCGTAACGTGCCAAGTCTCTCAACCATCACATAGAAACACTGACTTGACTGAATGACTGACTGACTGACTGAGTGGGTGTTGAAAATCCGGATGTTGTTGACGCTTTATGCTAAGTGCAGTGCAGTGCAGTGCAGTGAAGTGCAGTGTAGTGCAGAAGATCTCCACACTGGTTTCACGTTAATCAAGGAAGGCCTGTCTTGCTGTGTCTCCGATAGTGGCTGGTTTTCACGCCCTCGTCTGTCCCTGTGACGCCACCTATAGTTGAAACAGTGCTGTCTAGGTGGGTGTAGGTGAAGGAGGCTACTTCCTCCACGTTTCTCCCGTTGATGGTGATTGCAGCTTGTTGTTGTTGTTGGTGGTGGTGGTGATGGTGTCGTTGGTTGAGTATCTTCATCATCTCTGTCTTCTCTACAATCACTTGGAGGAAGTTCCGTCTTCTCTTCCCTACCTCTTCTATCAACTTGTTAATTTTCGCCTGTAGATCTACGAGTATGTGTGACATTAGACACAAGTGATATTTGGCGAAATCCAAATTTTCTCGGTTGTTTTCATCGATGCAGTCAGCGTATCTCCCTCTTCTCGCTCCTCACTGTTTGTTGCATGATCTAGTCCACTACAATCAGGAAGATCATAGGTGATAGTAGACAGCTTGGACTGTTAATCACTAGCAGAGAAATAAGGTAATATTTACTTTAATAGTGAATACGCTACTCAAAAATACCAACCAGCATATATATGTGTTTGTTAGAAAATTTTCAATAAACCCAGTCTAAAATCTCACGTGCGCAAAACTGGAAAACAATAACATGAAAATGGCTTTTCTTTTGCTGTTAATCAATCGTTTCTTCACTCATTTAATAACTTACCTATCTAGACAAATTGCTACTAAATTGAGAATAGAAGCTGTACAGAAGAGTACATCAAACATGATGAAGATATCGCAGACAATTGTTCCAAATACCCAGTAACCATTGACAACCTAAAGGGATAAATAGAGAGAAACTCATGAAGTATGCTTAATCAACTGATAGATAACAGAAGAAGTAATGAAAAGAAAGAACAGACTGAGAAGCAAAACAAAAGGATTGAATGTTATGTAATTGGTACTGATAAACTATTCTATGAGGGTAAAATGCATCCTGCTGTAAGACAATAGGATGTCTTGGTAACGACACAATTCATCGCTTTGTTCTAACCATCGAAACAGTTTAGTTCAACTGATAAAATCATTGTTCAGGGGATAATTTCAATCAGATTGCTGACTACAGAGAAAATTTATATTTTTAGGGAGTTGTGGGGATTTGGAAATATTTCAAGTTGTTATTCATCGTAGACTGATATCAGTTGATGGGGGGAACAAAAGAAACCTGGGAGCACTGGTATGCGACTCAGTGGTAAGGTGCTGGCCATGGAACCTGAAGGTCGTGGGTTCCATCCCTGGCTGGTGGGGTCGTGGGTGCGCACTGCTGAGGAGTCCCGTACTAGTCGGACGAAACAGCTATCCAGTGTTCCTAGGTTTGTTTCGTTCCTCCACCAACTGATGTCTATCTACGATAAATAGCAACTTGAAAATACATACTATTTGTCAACTGTTTTACAAAGGATCTTATGCATTCATCATCAAAGGATATTAGGTAAATAATTGAAGGTGAAACTGTTTTCTCATCAGATTATTATTATTATTAGTCCCTTGGGTTCCTGATGGAACACAGGGCTTCAGCAGCACGTCTCCAGTGACCTCTGTTCTTAGAGATCTTTTGAACCTGGTCCCACGACAGCCCAGAAGCTCTTATTTCCTCCTCGCACGATCTCCTCCAGTCACCATTGGACGTCCAACTCGTCGCTTCCCATGGGGATTCCACTAGAGTGACTGGCCTGACGCGTGATGTCCCCAGTCGGCCTTCTCAGTGTATGCCCAATCCATCTTCGCCTGGTTAACTAGTTCACTAGTTACTAGCCGGTCCTTAGCCCGGGTAAAGAGGGAAGGTTGGGCATAGGGTTAACAACCCTACCCCGTAAAACAAATCTAACCGCTAAAGAAACTTCAAAGCACAAACAAACTATAAAAAATAAAAACAAAATTATTCCTCACTGGAATCGGAGAGGCGAAATGACGCCAGTTGGTGAAAGCCTTCAGGAAGCCAATTGGCCGATGTGTCTTCTTTCGATGAAAGCGAAAGTAAACGTGAGGACATGGAATGTCCACACCATGTTTGAACCCAGCCATCAGATTAGATTTGTTTATTTAATTGATATAGCACACTATGATAAAGTATTATTTCCTTGAAGAAGACGTTACAAGCGTAAATTATTTATTGTTCATAATAATACCAGATATAATCACACTGTTTTCGACATCTATCACCTCATATTCTTTGATTATATTGGTAGTAGAATTTTCCACATCTCTGGTATAGGTGTAGACGTAATTTACCAACTGTTCCAACACTACAGAATACCACAAACCTTCATCAATCTCATTCAACAACTATATGAAGATGCCACATGCCAAGTAATTCACAATGGGAAGATCAGTGATGCTTTTGAAGTTAAAGCAGGAGTAAGACAAGACTACCGCCTACTATCATTCATGAAATTCCTGATTGTGGTCGACTGGATTGGACCACGCAACAAACAGTGAGGAGCGAGAAGAGGGAGATAAGCTGGCTGCGTCGATGAAAACAGCCGACAAAATTTGGATTTCACCGATTATCACTTGTGTCTAATGTCACACATACTCGTAGATCTACAGGCGAAAACTAGCAAGTTGACAGAAGAGATAGGGCAGAGAAGACGGAACTTCCTCCAAGTGATTGTAGAGAAGACAGAGATGATGAAGATACTCAACCAACGACACCATCACCACCACCACCAACAACAACAACAAGCTGCAATCACCATCAACGGGAGAAACGTGGAGGAAGTAGCCTCCTTCACCTACACCCACCTAGACAGCACTGTTTCAACTATAGGTGGCGTCACAGGGACAGACGAGGGCGTGAAAACCAGCCACTATCGGAGACACAGCAAGACAGGCCTTCCTTGATTAACGTGAAACCAGTGTGGAGATCTTCTGCACTACACTGCACTTCACTGCACTGCACTGCACTGCACTTAGCATAAAGCGTCAACAACATCCGGATTTTCAACACCCACTCAGTCAGTCAGTCAGTCATTCAGTCAAGTCAGTGTTTCTATGTGATGGTTGAGAGACTTGGCACGTTACGAAAGGCATTTCCAACAAACTACATATGTTCGTCAACAACTGTCTATGCTGGCTCGTTACTGAAGATGAGACGGATTGCCAGAATAGTAAGAATAAGCAGTCGAGTGGAACCCAGATGGGAAGCGACGAGTTTGGCGTCTGAGGTGAGGGTGACATGGAGGAGATGGTTTGTGAGGAAGAAATGAGAGCTAGTGAGCTGTCGTGGTGCCAGGTTCAGGATATTGTAGAGAAGAGAGTGGAATGGAGATGTGCTACTGAAGCCGTATGTCCCACTAGGAACCTGGGGAACAAATAATATTGGTATACGTGTGGCGTCAATCTTATTACATGTGTTGGATGTTGATCTGATGAACAAAGATTCAGTAATCAATCTGCCTTTCTTGCCAACTACGTATATTGAACTTATGCACCGTGACTTTATAGTAACCCATTTTGTGTGTAGTTGTGCATTAATGCATGCATTTCAATCGCCGAGTTCTTTTCTGGGTTACTGAGCTTATTCGGGTCTATGAATCTGCATTTATATAAATTCCTATGTCCCAATAGTCTGACTGATCCCGATCGGCTAGTTTCATCTATCTGCTTGACCTCACTCACATTGAGGAGATGGAATTTCATAGATTAGATAATTTTGCTTAATTGGTTCTATAGGATCCTTAAGCCAGCCGACAAAGCTTATCTCTGAGTGAGTTTGTAGGTTTAAATGCTACCCTAATTCCAGGTCTGCTGGGGATCCCAAATAAAGTTTCTAATGTTCCTCCTTTACAGAGTAACACACTGGAAGCCGTGAACACCTTTCTACTCCTATTGTCTTGTGTGTGTGTGTGTTCGTACGAATTTCTTAATGAACTGCGGAGGATAATTATTACCTGTTAGCACTTCTTTTATGTGCTTCACTTCCTTATTCAGGTCCTTGCAATGACTAGCTCTATCATTTCAATATCTGACTAAGCCCACTTTCACTGACATTGGATAAGGTGACTTGAAGTCAAGTTACCTGTTGGAATGAGTCGGTTTCCTGTAGACAATAGTATCCAAACCACCATCTCTCCCTCATTTTATTTTCCAATCCAATATAGCTGATTCTCCTTGTTCATATTCTACCTGCTTGTAAGTGAATTACATTCCACCTACTACTGAGTTGGTGTTATGTGTCAGGAAATTGTCGATACATTCCGATTTCAGCATACCAGTGAATGTGTCATCCATATATCACCACCATATTTTTAGTGTAGGACTAAACCTTTGTAAATTCATGTTTTCCCAATTATCTATAAATGTATCTGCTACGATTGTGGATATTGGTGATCCTATTGCTACTCCTTTTGTTTGTCTATATATTTTGTCCCGAAACTTGAGGACTGTGTATGTCATGTACAGCTGTGTAGATCATTTAATTATCAATAAGTGAATGACAGACCAAGGGACGGGCAAATGAAATCAAAGCAGAACGTCTCACATGACTGTATCACTACAATCTGCTACACTTCAGAGTACCATTCAAGGAATAAATGGACACTAAATGACTTATATCAAAGTACATGAGGGTACATTGGAAGAGAAGGAATCCTTAAAGTAAGCTTATTCAAATAAATTCGAACACACGAAGACACCAAAAGGGGAATTTATTCACACCACTGTGATCGGTTTTTATGAAACGTCCTCAACTACTGATTCCTATCATCTGGGGGACCTTAGCCAGATAGCCTACACCCTATGGAAAGCACAATTCACACCAACTATCAGAGATTTCATGCACTGAATCAATAGATAACTGTAGAATAGTGAGTTAGTATACTTCAAAGTGACTAACAATATTCATTGACCATTTACTTGTATCATGAGGTGTGAAAGTGTAAAACATCACAATTACTGAATAGTGTTAAATGGTAAGTGATGAAGTAATCAAGTGAGAGAGAAAGAGGCGTCGAAATTTCTGCTGCTTCTACATCTTATGATGTCATAGGCAATGTAGTGCTTGGTTTCAGACTGCTTACTTCTCTGTATGACATCATGTCGTCAGCAAGGCCACTTTCACATGATTCTACTTAGTTTCAATAAAGAGTTGAAAGTGATAATCCACAACCATGACTAGTATTACCTCTGGAAACCATGATGGAGAATATTTATAAGTCAGGCAGATAGTCGTGATTGTGTTACTTTCTCTGAGGAGAATGATTTAACGATGAAACTTTCTTTGTACATCTACGCTACATCATCAGTAGTAACTTAACTATGAAACAAGCTAATAGGATCGATTCGGTAGCGTGGTTTGTGATTGGTTGTTTCCATAGATGTCAAACACATTTTCTATTGCCTGGTTTTGCCTGATGTTTAATCTTGGAGTCGGTTATCTTCTTTTCTTATTGGTTGGTAAATTGTATCAGTTTCTATTCACCGTTTGATAAGTGATTAACCTACATGGCAAACTTCTGTGAATTCCTTCATACTCTTCATTTTTCATCCGTCAAAGAATAATTCATTTTCAAAGTTGTCCATTTGTATTCAATCATAATACCTCAAGTTTAATGACAGGGAATGAGCTGGTGATTAGTGTCGACTACCCAACTTACTTTTGAAGTTGCATCAGTCCACCGAGTAAGCTGCCTACTGACGAAATCTCAGCTCGGATACAAAAGACCTGTTTGAAATTCGCCAAATTGCGTCACCTGTAGAAACGAATGGCAAAATATCAGACTATCTTCAAAGGACGAGTGTACCAAGCTGCAGTTTGTTCTCTCCTGTCATTCGGC